GGGCACACCTGTAGTTAGCATGAGAAAATGAGCAATCAGCAGCACACCATTGGAAGTCGACGAGAATAAAACACTGCTATGGAGCATATTTAATGTTTATTAAAAAAAGGTGACTCTGTTCTTATTAAATGCAGAAATATATCCTCGCAAAATGAACCGCGTCTAAACTCAGTCTAGAACTTTAGTCAGTAAAATGCTCATTTTAAATGCTACATTTATCAGAGAACGTTGAGAGGTCTCGCAGGAAATATTTTGCTTCAAGATACAAAAAAAAAATTACAAGGTTCAAAAAACACCAACAGTGTTGTTCTATTATCCGCTTGTTAAGTCTGACATCGTGCTGCGCTCCCTGGTCCTGGTGCCCCTATCTCCCATTGCAAACAGAGCTAAAAGGGGCTGATGCGCTTTAAAATACTTTCAATTGAGCAAAACGTTATATATAGATTACCGACAATGTACAATAACAAATGTTAGAGTCAAGGTGTCGTAAAAGAAATGTTTATAACGTGGAAAGTGCTGTTCTTTAGCGCAAGTTAGAGAAACCCAGTGACGCGTTCTCTCCAGTTCGCTTGCTACTGTTTACGCTTGTGCTTGAAACCGTGTCTGTGTTCGTAATTCGTGAAATATCTTGAGAAAGTTCACTTTCATACGTAGTGCCGTAATGTTTTCTGCATCCGTTCCTCTTCCTCCAACACATCGCTTCACTCTCAAGGTAAGGTTTCACATTCGTGTACATATTACGTATTTTGCTTGTGTTTTATTATCATTTATTACATTAACAATGTGTAGATTTAAGGATTGAAGAAACGTTACTTGATTTTTCTCTGGTTTTCCATTTTTTATCAACTCATACTGGTTTTTCTGAGAGCCGTTGCATGGATTAGGCGTTTTACATGTAAAACATGCTTCGAGATACGAAAGCCACCCAGGAACAGATTAATTTCTTATCTGGGGTACCACTGTATTAATCTAAAAAAATACTCCCACAAATGTCAGAGTACTTCAAGAACATTTCTTAATTTGCCCACACAAAAAAGTGATTTTTCTACCAAATTATTTCAAGATCATGTTGCAAAAATCAGTGCAGCGTCATTCTAATTCTAATAATGAACAGGCATTCAGCCACAAGTGACGTGTCCAAGGTGTCCTTACTTCTCAAAGAAAAGCCCCTCCCATTTAATGCTGTCAGAATTGGCCCATAGAAGAAAAAGGTCACAAAGGAAGGCATTTCTTTACAAAAAAGGCGAGAGCTACAAGAAGATCAGCAAAGCTTTACAAATCAGCCAAAATAGTGAACAGAATGGAAGTGCAACCATCTTAAAAAGACGTCCAGGCCGTTCACAAGTTGAAGAAATTCTTCGGAAAGTTCACTGCAGTTAGCTAAAGGAACAGGAAGCCAAACTGGAGCGAGTGTTTCCCGTGACGCTATACGTCACACACTGCAGAGGAATGGCATGTATGCGGAAGCCTCTCCTAAAGTTCATGAACAAAAAAAATCACACCTAGAATCTGCTCGGTTCCACGCTGAAGAAGATGAAGACTCCTGGGGCTCTGGAGTGATGAGACAAAGATCACGGTTTTCGTAACTGATGGCTAAGCCTGGACGATAAAACGATATTGATATGTATTGCAATAGAGACGTGATTGATGTCAATTAAAAAATGTTTGATATTTTTTATTCTTCGTTGGAAGATAACTGACGTTTGGTTGCATCAACAAAGGCATTTTGTTACCGATCAACACAGGGAGTGGCATGCAAATAGTATTAATTTTGGTTGTGCCATATAGTTTTCTCGTGATGTTCGGGATTCCCTTCATAAGGATAAAATGGAAAAAAAAGGATGAAATGAGTGCTAGTGCTAGCAGGAAATTATTTAAAAAAATATATGAATTTCTTAAATTTTCTTTCATTTTGCACCTTAAACATTAAGAAATAACATTTGTTATTACAATGTTCGTGCTCATTGTGATTTTACTTTTTAATTATTTTTCATGTTGACATTTGTTATGATCAGAGGAAGGTTACGTTTATAGTAAAATGTTTAAATGTAATCTTTTTTTTCTCCTGGTTCTTCAATCAATAATATTGTTATCGACGGATATGAATGACTGATATTGTGAAAGTTTTCAGCCGTGTCGTCCAGCCCTACTAATGGTTTTTAAAACTGTACTGCATCATAAAGGTGAGGATTTAAAAAAAAATACCTGGTGTCTACAGTGAAACATGGTGGTGGTAGTGTCATTATGTGGAGCTGCAGGAGTGCTGCCAGTGTTGGGGAGCTGATGGCATCATGAACACAAGAATGTTCTGCTCGATACTGAAGGAGAAGATGCTGACATCACTCCGGGCCCTTTTCTGATGATCCCAAACATACGACTAGAGCTTCTGCTGCATCTCTGAAGAAGAACCAGGTGAAGGTGATCGAATGTCTCCTGATCTGAACACCAGCAGGGAATTCTGAAGTAAGAAGTGGAGCATCGCTCCCCATCCAGCATCCAGCTTTGAAAGACATTCTTCTTGAAGAATGGAGAATGGTAGATGCTGCTGCGTGCTTCATTTCATGTATTCATTTCTGTTTCAAGTTTGGAAATTGTTCTTTTGTACTGGGTAAGCTGTACAGAAATGGAAGCAATCGCCGAGTGTGGCGAGGGAGTGGAGGAGAGGAAGTGACAAATGTTCAGGAGATGTGAATTTGTGGAACTGATGGATGTATTAGACACTGATTTAAAAATGGTTTTATGTTTTTTGTATAAGAATAAATCAAATGTATGCTCTCTGTATTCTGTTTTTCAGATAAAAGTCTAAGACGTTATATTTTGGCTGGCAGTGGGGTAAGAAAGCTGCTGTTTTCAGCATAGCTCGTATTTTTTTAGGGGGCTGGTGTGGTTTTTGTGGTTAGGTGGGGGTTCTTGAAGCCAGGGTGGTATCTGGCTATATGCCCGTGTCCCAGCTTTACCAGCTGTGTCACTGGAGCCAAAAAGATGACGTGAAAACAGGAAACACAAGACAGCATTGGTTTTAATGGGAGTACATGCGGTCTGGACCTTGAAGCGGATCTTCAAGTTGAACCATGCCCACCTTCCTTACAACCGGATCAATTGGAGTAGTGACTGTTCTTTTATTCATTTTTTTTCTTGATTTCAATTAAGAATAAAAGTCTTAAAGCTCATTTGGGCTTGCTTTGTGTTCTGTGTGCCATTGTCTTGCTTGGGTCTGGGACCAGGAACTGGAAGCATCACAGGTAGGACCACAAAAAAGAATCCAGGAGGTAAATAGTCAATTATCCTAAAGATTGAACGCAGGAAGAAGAACTTGAGCGTTGGAGTAGTAGGTGGGTCTTTAAAAAGTAAAGATCAAACTCAGAAAAAACTGTAGATCAGAACTGGAGCATGGGGAGAGGTGAGCTTTTCTGCGAGGAGCTGGATACAAGTGGTGTAAAACTGAGGAGATAAACTGAAAAGTCCCAGTTTCCAAGAATGATCCAATAGTGAAGGTCACTGGCAGAAAATTGGATAATCAGTTTTTCTCAGATTGAGTTGCGGATGTTTTCTGTTGGGCTCCCCTTTAAAAAGTTGTGTCCAAAGCAGTACATTCTACATTTCTGGGTGAGCTCCCCCTTTAAAGTGTCATAATGCTCTTTTATGAGACCCGTTGCGTATGTAAGTCAGAAGAGAACTGCCGTTTCGAGCCAGTGTGTCCTCTGGAGAGTTTCTAATGAGTTTCTCGAATGCTAGTTTTGAATTTATGAGAAAACGAGGTTTGTGTTGAACATAACGTGAGACATTCCTGGTGGGTTAGAGTTAACAGTTTCATTTACTGAGCTGTAAAAATAGAGAGCGTGAAGAAAGGATTACAGCTTTCACGAGCTTAAGAGTCTGCGTCTCTTCACAAGTCTGTGAATCCCCTGAATATGATCACATTATTTGTGTATTATGTCATTTATTTAAAACAGAGACAGATCTGAGGGGGTTCTGTTTTTAGCTAACAATTACGAACAGCTAATTAGTTTGTACTTGTTAAAATAGGTCAGAGATTTAGGTCAGAACTTCAGCAGAAGTAATGTTCTTCCATGTTCTGAAACTGATCTACAGAACGATTCTTTTGTCAACCATCAAAGGCTTAACGGAGCCGGAGTCGGGTTCCTTTTGGTATCACTTTCTGTAGACGGATCTGAAACGCGGCTGTCGATATCTCAGCGTCTGGAAGCTGCTAGCACTTGCCCTTTAGCAATGCTAACTTTTCATCTCTCTAGAATTGCTTGCTCCGTTTCAGGGTTCTATAACAAGGTAGTGTGTTTTTTTTTTTTTTTTTTTTTGGGGGGGGGGGGGGGGGGAATGAAAGTTTTCCCACAGTTCCACGATGTCTAAGAAAATGTGATCAGGTTTTTTTGGTCAAAGTTTAAAACAATAGTTTTCAAGTTTCTTTGAAGCACACAGTGATGAAGCATACAGTTGTACAACATCAAACAACTATTTACTCTTTTTAAATCATAATAACAGAAACTTTCTAAATGACCCTGATCAAAAATGTACACACCCCAGATCTTACTATTTCTTATTTCCAATGACAACCTCGATGAGGTTCTTTATCTTCTTTGTTGGTAAAGCAGAACATTCTTCTTGGTAAAAAGCCTCCAACTCCTGTAAATTCTTGCATGAACGGCAGGTTTGAGTTCTCCCCAGAGTAATTTCTCAGGAGACTGAGATCAACTCCAGAACTTTGTTCTGGTGGAACCAATGACAAGTGGGCGTGGCCTTGTGTTTTGGATCGTTGTGTTGGAATGTTCAGTAATGTCCCATGAGCAGCTTCTGGCTGATACATTCATTTTCATTCCCGCTTATATGGGGGCAATTCGCCAGTCCATCACAGGGCAACATTCACACACACATGCACACCTAAGGGAAATTTAGATTATTCAATTAACCTAACCGCATGTTTTTGGGGATTGTGGGGAAAACCCACGCAAGCACAGGGAGAACATGCAAACTCCTTCCAGGAAGGTCACCGGTTGCTTCGAACCGACAACCTTCTACCTGGAAGGCCAAAGTGCTACCCACTGCCCCACTGTGCCGCCCTGATGAAGAACATTTTTTTTAATTTAATATAGGAAGCCCTTTTATACATTTTCTGGAAAAATTACTGTAGCGAGATTAAGAATCACACCGAGGGGGTTTTTAGTGCAAACACCCGGAGGGTGGCTTTATTATACGATGCTCTGTGCAATAAGTGGTGGTCCGTGGCGAAATACTCTGGCTCTTCAGTGGCGGTGAGGAGTGGTGCCCATGATCGATGATCGCGGCGCTTCCTCTTCTTCTTTGGGAAACCCAAATGCAGTGAGGAGGGGATCAGGCAGTCCAGACCCAATCGAAACAAAAAAACAATCATTTGTCACATTTCAAAAAATAAAAAAAAATATATAAATAAATACATTTTTGAAGCCGTGCTCATTTTTAGCAGATGCAGGACTGTGAGCATGTTCACCTTTCCTGGATTAAGTTTGGAGCCGTGAGGTACGAGGATAATTCCACACTTTCACTTTGACGACACAAAAAAATGCAGATATTAAAGGAACATTTGTTTATGTTTTGAAACTGTAAATTATTATAAACCCTGGTGAACCTTTTTTTTCTACCATACCTAATCAGAATAGATCATATTATGTGAATCGAGATGTGTATCGTATCTCCAGATTTTTACATGTTTCACGATTCTTGTGTTTATAGATTCATGATGGAAACAATGGAGTGACGGGGTGAATAGTATTTTATTCCTAAACGTTATCTTGTTTTTTTTTCTAACCATTAGAACATGTACTATCTACCACAGAGTGCAAGTGGATTTGAGAAACTGAATTGAGAAAGAAAAAGTGAATATTCTGTATTTTTATGCAGTTATACCCAATTGTGACTCATACAGCGTCCATATCTGAAGGACAACACCTTGTTCTTCAAGCACTTGACTTGACGACAAACTGTCTGACCTTTAAAGATGTGTGTTGTCACTTGTTGTTTTTCTCTCTTCCTGCTCGCTCTGCACTCCGAGCAGATCAAAGGCCGCTCTTCTTCACCTGCCGCAGGAATCCACCTCCTCCTCCTCCATCCATCAATCAGTATGTGTCTGCTCTGCAGCACATGGCAGAAACCCAGGCCGGATCAGGCCTCAGGGCAGCACACATTGATGGACAGCTGGCATCGCCCTTATGCATGTTCTGTGTGTTTTTGAAAAGGGGCTGGTTTGCGAATGGGAAGGGGGGATTGGTTGGGTTGAGGGAGACCGGGGTTTGAGCTGAGCCTGTGGATCCAAACAAGTCACAGCTTCGCTCAGGTGGTTTTTCTGATGTCTGCGGTTTAGACAGGGCGTTACGCGATGTTCACAAGAACTTTGAGAAATGAAAAAAAGTGGAAAGAAAAGGAGAGGGATTCTGCATGCGTCAACACGCATACCTGCTGCTGTGCACAGGAGGCCCTGAAGGCGTGATGGGAGTTTCTCATGAGCCAAACCCAGACGACAGGCCTGCGAGAGCGCTAGGCTAATATGAGCCACACTGGCTTAGAGTGGCGTCAGCCACCAACACCTTCACATTCTTCTTGTTTTTTTTCTCTTCTTTTTTTTTCTTGTCTCTGCATCATGTTTGTGTGGGCCACCGCTGACTCTGGAGCGCTCTAGACGTCTTGTTTTTCTCATGAGTTTGTGGGTGGTAGTTAGAGCCTGTTCTTAGAGCTCTGTGATGTCTGTGAGACTGCACTGTACTCAGTTCATCACAAAGACTGCTTAATGCAACTGGCACCAAGCTCTCGCCATGATTGTCACCTGCATAATAGGCATTTGAGACGAAGGCTTACTAAACATCTCTCCAGATTATGGAATATTCACCAAGAAATCAACTTGTTTTGATTTTGCTTCTTAGTTTGAGGACCAATGAAAACATTTTCACCCCAAAACCCGATTTTTCCAATATCTGCTGTAGTCCTGACACTTTCAGGCTGGCGTCTGTGTTTCCAAAAACACCCGGCTCCGTTAATGATTTATTATTAGCAATTCTTTTGTTTCCAGAAACCATTTCAAAACCACTTCGTATGGTAGTCTCGAGAATGCTTCAAGCACTCTTGTGGAAGGATGGGCGGGGCGTGGCTCAAAAAAGGAAGTTGTCTTCACTCAATGTGATGTATTATTATTATTTTTTTTACGTAAATCAAAATGGTGGGAAAAAGATGGAGAAGTCCAATGCCTAGTTTTTTTTCCATGACAAAAATCATAATTGTCAGTTATTCCCTTGAAAATGTAATTGCGATTATTATTTACGATTACATTGATGAAATAAAAATAAAAAACAAGTTGAAAACACTTCTAATGCTTTTCTTGTTGACACAAAAATCTCTTTAAATATAAATATATCACATAATATTTGTCCAAAAGAAATCCTTGTGTTTTCTGTACAAAAAAATTGCAAAAGATAAAATAAAGTATGATGCAATTTGTTGTTGAAATCAAGAGCATGAGCAGTAATAAAGCAATTTTATATCATGTCAATTAGAAAAAAATACACTATTTATTTAAAAACATTTTTGTTGACACCGCCTGCCTGCTGCTGCTGTTTGTGTTCCAGAAATCTCCCGGGGGTCCTCCTCACTCTTGATTATCATTTAAACATCTTCCTTCACTATTTACAAGTATTTTGTAGTCACACTCTTTGTGACTTTCCTCCACATTTATTATCTATAGTAACTTTTGTCCAAAGTCTATAGTTTCCTTTCTTGAACTTTTAGACCAAGTTTGGAGTCGGTTGATTGAAGTCATCAAGGTGTCCTTGGGTCAAGGCACTGGACTATCATTTTCTCCAGGGATTGTTTTGCCTCCAGCCACAGCCTTGGTTGAAGCCATCTTGAAAAAGTGAGGAAAAGCTGAAGGAGAAAAGTTTTCTTGTCTCGTCAATATCTGTGTCTTATGTTCACCAACAATCTCCATTCTATCCAAAATCCATTGCTTGGCCATTCTAATCCCTTCAGCAGAAACCCCGAATAAATGATTATCAACAAAAGCTTCCAGAGACTGAGCACCCAGGCGAATTGAGTTCCCCTAAGCCCTGGCTTCTCATCGAAAAGCAATCAGAGACCAGTTGATCAAATCCGTAATTCTTTTATATATGGATGCAGAGATATTGGAGGGAGAGAGACAGATGTGACTGCCTTCATCAATATCTGAATAGAAAAGTTCTGTCAAAATCAACATTTCCAATTTCAAACCGCTACAATATTTGAATGAAATAGAACCAAGTTTGTTCATGCAAACAGCCCGAGAGCTTGTTAGCATACACAGGCACTGAACTGCGTGAAATGTGTGGTTATTTCTATACATTTACTGTGGATTCGTTAGCTCTTCGATGCACTTTGGACTTTCCTGCCCGGGTGGCACACAGAGAACTCCTAATTCTCATTGGATCAACTTCATGCTGGTCCACATTTGAGACTGGCAACACTACATTACCCATGATTCCTAAACTACAAGTCTCAAACCGGGTGTGGTGAAAGCGTGACTGTGGGAGGAACAGATGCAAAAAATACAAGGTGATTCAAAATGTTTTAACGATTAAAATTGTATTTAGAAAGTTTCTAACGGTGCAGTGCTAGTATAGAGGGCTTAAATAAATTTTGCATAATATATCCATTTTAGATTTGTTTACAGGAATGAACATTTTACAATAATCATAAGCATCTTCATAATCCAAATAATCTGCATCTTGTGCCACATTAATCATCACAGGAAAAAGTGAAGCTTAAAGATGCATCTGATTGTTTCTAATGTTTTTTTTTTGTGCGTCTGATGTTGCGTGACAATGGGGATGATTGCATTTGTGTTTCACAACAAAAGACGTGAATGGATTGCGACAGAGAGGCAGACTGAAGAAAGAGGCTGTCTGCACATAGCTTTCTTTACCTGCTCTGTTGCGTCTGCTGTCTATCTCTTTACCACGCTGACAGTTAATAGATTCTGACACATTCCTCAACCATGCGAGACTGATCTAACAAATGAGAAAGGGGAAATGAGAACCAGTACAGTAGGCAGAAGTGTCTGGAAGGCGGCTTGGGGGAAATAATAATTAGCATCAGTTTACAGGCCCAGTTTACCATTTTGTCATTTGAATCACAAAAAGGTGTAATTAGGTTGTAATTGCTCGCCGCGAGTTGTCAATAATTTACATACGTCTGTGTTTTGTCGCGTGTGCATGAATGTAATGGATGCATCTATTACAGAAAAGCCTAATTGAAGGACAGCTGATATGATGATTAAGATAAGCTGGTTGCAAGGCCTTGGGTGCCAGTTTCTGTGATGCAGCAGGTTCCTCCAGCTTTGAATCGGGATAATTGCTGACTGTTTTTGAAAGGGGTTTTCCTGAGTAAAACAGGTAAAGAGATTAAAGTGAATCCTGTGTGATCTTTGCTTCTTGTAATAAAGGAATAGTTCCTTTTGATGAGAGCTTGTTTTCCATGTACAACGATTTTTGTTCAATTGTGAAGAATCTCATTGTATTAATTCATTTTGCAAAGTTGGCAATACCTTACCTTAGACTGCCTTAGCAACACCAGTCTCATCTTGAATTATTTGACTCACATCATTTTAAGAAGTGTAGGCTATATTGACAATATAGTTGTTCTCATTTAAGTGTCTTGAATAGAAATCAAAAAACGCAAAAAAAAAGATTGTCTATTTGTCTTCTCACTCTGTGTGAAACCAACTAGACCAGACTGATTTACCCTGGCACACCAGATAACATCTGTGAAAATAAAAGTTACAGTAACTTTACAACCAGTGCTCTAGTGCTCTGCATTTGACCCATCTAAGTACAAGCACACATCTTGAACACACACCTGGATCAGTGGGTGCTTGGAGAGCAATAGGGGGAAACTGGAGCCTTGCTCAACCCTCACCCCACCCCACATACAACTCCCACTAGAGCTGGTCACTGGTTAATCTCCTTTTCCACTAGGCCACAACTCCCCCATCCCACTATTCTGTACACTGGTTGCTTAACACTGCCATAAACAAATACAGGGCAGAGTTTTCACATGCCAA